CAACTTAGGGAAACAATTCTAAGAGGCTGGAGCGGGAGGAATCTGGGATGACTTCTAAGCTTGGCTTAGGTGACTAAAAGAATGAATCATTAAATGAGCTTGAGAAATGGGAGGAGGACTAGGAGTGGGAGCAACAGAGGCTGCACTGAATCCACTGGCCCTTGAGAAACCCAGAAGAGAGTGTCCTATGGACTACAATTCTCAAAGCATGTTTGTTAAATCAGTAATGTCACCATAACCTGGGAACTTCCAGGAAATGAAAAGTCTTGCCTCATCTATATCTTTCTGTTATGGTTTGGATGTTGAATGCTTCAAAATGGCCCATGTGCTAAAAGGCTGGTCACCAGTCTAGGAGGTGGATGGACCTTTTAGAGATGAGCATATCAAGAGGAAGTTAGGTCATGGCTGAGTGTGCTTAAAGGTCATATTGGGACCCTGGCCCCTTCCGTTCCTTCTCATTTCCTGGACACTATGAAGTCAGCAGCTTCTTTGCCCCATGCTCCCACCATGAGGATGGTCCCACCAAAGCAACTTCTGCAGCTTTAAGCCCAAATAAACCTTTCACCTCATAATATGTGATTTGTCATGTACTTTGTAACAGCTATGGGAAGCTAACAGCACAAGCTAACAACACATCATTGAATCAGAATTTCTACTCTAGTTCAGCAGTTCTCTGGGGGATTCTGATGTGTACTAAAACCCGATGGTGCCAGGGCAGGGGAGATTTTTTCCCAAGATACTTGGGGAAAAAACTGCATTATTCTACACAAGGCCTTTTCTCAGGCCTCCATTTCCTCAACTATAAATCAAGGACACATAGCTATCAGACCCCTAGGCAGTCACTAAACCTTGCTGGTTCAGAGTACCCACTCTTAAATATCCATCTCCTTCTGTAGTAACAGAACCTTGATTTTTAATAGAGTACTTGGGAACTCTGAACAAAGACCATACTTTCCAACTTCTTTTACCAGTAGGTATGGCCATGTGGCCCAATTGTGGCAGATAGGAGGAGAATGGAGGTGATGCCTCTTGTTAGGTTCCTGGCAGGCTCTTAAAATGGCAACACAGCTCCCAACATTCTAAAATGTCAGGTTCAAACTTAGCCCTGGGCAAGTCCCTCTGCTTATTGGGAGACCAACCAATCCTGAACTAAACTGCCCAGGCTACATCATGGAAAGTTACCCAACCATCTAACTGCCTATAAAAGATGTCTGACTTTCCCTGCTTGCTGCTGTTTTTTCTCTGCCACGAAAGAACCCAAGTCACCCGTGTGATGCACATCAGAGTTTGCAAGGCTCAAGTTCACTCATCTTTGCAAGATGAGGTATTTCAAGGGGGTTATGTCCATGGATTGGACCTTTCCAAACCAGTCTTCAATAACAGTGCATTGGAGGACCTGGCTATACCACTCCTCATCCAACTGACTTATTAACTAGGGCACTATGTTAATGACAGCATCTCAATAGGGAAGACAGGAAGAAGAGGCAGAGGTCGAACAGGTTGTAAAACAACAGGCAAAAGAAGAAAACATACCTGAGCAATTAGTGATTTAAAATGGTGCTTTCTAAGCTAACACGTACACTTTCCACTATAGAATCTGTGTGAAGATCAGAAGTAGAGTTTGATAAAAGACCTGCTCTTGGGACTGGTTTTGTTTCTGTTCAGCTCACTTTGTGGTAGTGTCTGGGTACTTTTGGAAATGAGCATATTCCAAAAGTCATTCCAGCCTCCTTTCTTCCCTTGCTTTCATGGAAGTTGCCTTTGAATATTATTTTTATATTCATTAAAATGCATTTTGTCACTTTATTAGTGTGCTTATTAATGTTGCTAGCAAAGTAACTGCTGAGTATTAATTTCCTGTGGAATCAGATCATATATGTGTCTAGACTTACCTTATTATAGCTCACTAAATCCAGTATTAAAAACAACCTATCCTTCAATTCAATTACAGAAAGTTCCTGGACCACTAACTCTAAAAGGATCAACTGCTTTAAATATTTCTGCATGTGTAAACATGTGCTTATGTCACTTATAGTATTATCTGGTGGCTTTTTCTGCAAGGGTACAACATTTTACAATATGTCTTTATGTCTTATAGAAATGGACTGTACCCGGGATATGCATGGTACAATTCCCATGGGACTCATTCACATACTAGTCTATAGTGCCTTATGGAATTGCACAGTGTACAACACTGGCAGCCTTGGGTGGTGGCTATGATTGCTAACATCATTAGATATGCCCCTGGGTAGCTTGGAGGGTGGACTGTTATGAAATGGTTGACAATGTATGCTTCAAAAGCAGTGGTGAGGATATTAGAGCTCTAATGGGGCAATGTTCACCCTGTTTGATTATGGGGTGAGATGTATGTCATCTGCCAAGATCTAGAAGAGGCTGGTGACGGCTTCCTGGAAGATTCCAGGTTTGGGGTATGGTCGACTTCAAGACTCAGAGAGGCTGGGCAGCAGCTAGCAGGGTACAGGTATTCTCTAGCCTATAGCTTCTCTGAAGGTTTATCTGTATGCTGGACAGAAGAGAGCTTGGTAAAATTTATTTTTGAACCTAGTAGCACCTTTGGACAAAGTTTGCTTTCCCTACCACTTTCAAGCTCCCTGGTGAGCCCACTTCCTCGGAAGGGTTCTTTTCTGCCAACTGAGTAGTCTAGCAGGCTCTTAGGTGCAAGCATAGATTCCTTTAAAGATCCTAAATGTAACTATTGAACTGGTGTCATGTTGTCATGGTTACCACAGGATAGTTTCTGAGGCCAGAATGTTTTCAAGGAGGGCAGGCTTGGGTTGACTATCCCAGGCTTCTAAGTAGCAAACAGACCCAAGAGAATTGTTTCTCCCCTCCTTCTCCCCTGCTCAAGGCGCCTAACCAAGAGCCAGGCTCTTGATGACTCCAATATCTTCAGTGATCATCCTAGTTTCAACCCAGACCAAACCTATGGCATGCACTTGATGCAGCCTTAAAATATCAGAAAGCACTGATGGTCGATCTGGGCATGTCTCATTCATCCTCCAAACCAAGACAAGTCCCTGGATCCTTGGTGCATGCAACTTCTTCTGGCAAAATGTGCAGAAGTAACTCTCAGCATTTAATATGTTAATAAGGAACTGGCAGTTTTTGAACACTGCCCTTAAGTATGGCACTTACAGAGATCTCATGTAATTGACTAAGCTAGCAAGGGGACTAATCTAGTAAGGGAAGACAGTCCATATTTTATCTATGGGGAAGGCAGGACTTGTAGAGGTGATGCCTAGGGTCAAATGAGGAGGAAGTAGCAGGGCTGGGATTCAAACTCAAGACTGTTTGGTTCTAAAGACAGACCAGTTTCCTCTAAGCCATGGCTGCCATTTTAGACACCGAGAAGACCTGTTAGCCCCAACAGACCATTAACCATCTACTGGACACAGAACATCCATCCATTCATTCATTAAACATGTCTTGAGTCTGTTCTGTGCCAGATCCTCTGCTGATCCCTGGCAACATAAAGACAAATTACACGTAGTTTCTGTCGCCAAGAAACGAACCCACTGACAGCCAGCAGTAATTTAAAAAGAGGAATCTACAAAACTGGAGAGAGGGGAAGTTAGGAAAATCATTATGGAGGAAGTGACACCTGCATGAACCAGCTGTCTCAAGGCAGGAGGAGGCAGAGACAACAGAGTAAGACCCATTAATACCTAAACTCAAAGAACTCACAGAACCCCAGAGATAATTATAATAGTATACACAGTGAAAGAGAATAAAATCCCCGAATAAGAGCCCATACAGGTAGGCCACACGAAAATGTTGGAGAATTGAAAGACCAGTACAAAAGGTAGGGACATGAAGGAAGACTAAAGAAATGAAGAGGATTATAAGATTATTTAAAATCCCCCCATTTTGTCCAAGTTACTTAGGGCTCTATCATGGTCTTATTTTTCTTTATTTTTAATTTCCTGCTGAAAGAAAACACTTATTCAAAACACCTCTAAAGCTTGTGCTGTCTATAGACATACCATCCTGAACACACCTGATCTTGGAAGCTAAGCAGGGTTGGGCCTGGTTAATACTTGAACGGGAGACCACCTGGAAGCACAGCGTGCTGTAAGGCTTTAAATAAATAAATAAATCAGCTTGTGCTGGTGGCACCTCATTACTCCAGGCCCAGGTGGCGTGCACAGTGGCAGGACTGTACAAAGATGAACAAGACAGGGCAACCTTAAGTAAAGAGCAAATAACCAATACAGTGAAACTTTTGAGATGTGAGCTCCAAACTAAACGGCATAAGAAACTAAATAATTAATTCAGATTTGAAAATAGGGGCTGTCGGGGAAGACTTCACTGTTACTGGTTTATCCATCAATTCATTTGCTGATGCCTTCTATCTACAATACCAACTCTTCAGAGCCAACACAGGTCTAGACACAGAATAGCAATATGTGATATACAAGTATGAGAAGTGCTTAGGGCCATGGACGCTTGTAAAAGATTTCAGAAGCGTTGGTAGTTTTGGGACTGCTTTCTAAAATTAAATAGGAGTTTGTCCAGTGAAAATGGCAGTCATGGAAGGAGGTACGGAGAGCAACATTTGGAGAGAGACAAAGCGTTACGACATACAGTCCAGAGGATGAAAACGCCTGAACTAAGGAGTTTGGCCTTTAGCCTCCAGGTAACGGGCTGCCATAAAAAAAAGGCCCGTGATTGGATTTTCTTAAGAAATGTCCTTCCGTTCTGTTTGGACGGTGGGGTAAGAGAAGTGAGGTGGTGGCTCATGGACGCCCACAGCAGCTGCATCTCGAAGGTAGGATGGGGGAGTGGGAGGTGCGGGTGTTGGAATAGAGGGTGAAGGGAATCCCTTCTGAGATGCACATTCTGGATAAGGACCTACGCAGGTCTAGGCACCGCACAGCAGCTGGGAAAACCCCCCTCCCCCTCCATCCCTCTGGGGCGGAGCTAGGGCCGAGCACGTGACGCCTAGAGCACCCACCTTTACTCAGGGCAGTCCACTCCTTATCCTTGGTTTCACGGATTGCCACCTCGACGACCCCCCCCCAACGCCTTGCCTCAGCGTTTCAGTGTGCAAGGAACCCACTCTCTTTCAAACGTCTCTAGTGGGCTTTCTGAGAAGCCTACTTGGCGAACACAAACCTCGAAGGAGCCTTTGCCCATAAAAAAGATGGCGGCACTCCGCTCTTTCTGGATGTGCGAATCCGGCCGGCTTCGCTGGGAGCAGGCGGAAGGGGCGGTTCTGAGGGGGGTCGGGAGCCCTACTTGGGAGGGGCCCTGCTCCTGGGAGGCGTGGCCTACCCAAAATTGTAGCATCGGATTGGTCTTCTGGCCTGTGGGGCGGGGAGCCTCCACAGCTCCCCGCCCCTCCCTCCTCGAACCGGAAGTGTCTCTCGGTCTTTCCAGCTGGTTGTCATTTCACTCGGCTCGTTCCTCAGGAGAAGGACTTAGCCGCGGCTGCGGGACCCGGGCACCGGAGGCAGCGGCGGCGGCGGCGGCGACAGCGGCGACAGCACAGGAGGAAGAGGAGGAAGGGAAGGAGAAAAAGAGCCAGGCGGAGTCCGCAACGACGACAGCTGGGACTGCGGGACCGGGGAACAGAGGCAGCGGCGGCGGCCCAGCAACCGTGAGGAGAAACAAAAGCCTCCTAAATTCTAGTTTCTAAATAGTCTGGGGGGGGCGGTGGGAAGAGAGCGCGAGCCAGAGGGGAGGCCTTTCTCCTTTAGAGTAACTACGGTAGCGGGGTTTTCCTTTTTTTCCATCCCGGTTCCCCCTCCCCCCTGCGGAGAATCGAACTGAGAACTGAACAAACCGCCCCTGGGTCCCATGAGGGAAAAAAACCCCGGAGCCGCCGAGAGGGGAAGAGGCAGAAACCGCAGGACCTTCCAGGTCGCCCCCTTGCTCCTTGCACCCCCGGGCGGCCCGCTCGCCCTCCAGTCTCGCTAATCCCTCCTGATCGCGACACCCCTCAGAGGGAGAAACGGGTGTTTCCAACCCCTTTCATGGGGGAAAGGAGGCCGAGGGGAGCCCAAGAACAGCCACCGCAGCAAGATCTGCACTCGGAGCCCCAGAGGCCCAAACTGCACCCTACAAAAGACCAGAAGCAGAACCAGGAACAGCAGAAAGCTCCCTGCAATCATCTTTCCATTAGCAAATGCTGATCTCTTCTCCGGTAACCAGTAATTCACCTCCCGCCCCAGATAACCTAATATAATCTATCTATATATAAATATATAATATATAATGTTCTTAAATTATTCCTGATTTTTTTAACCAAGCTGCCAAGAAAAGAACGTATTCTCCCCG